GGCCAGTTCCACTCTGCCCTACGGGGTCTCTATGAGTCAGAATCAAGTCAGCGCCAATGAAATTGCATTCTGTTCTGTCTTGTTCATAAGCTATAGCAGGCATTATTAGCCATGAACAACACAGGCATGTAAATAAGATGAGAGCTCATGGCTGGACTGGCGGGAGCTACTTTTGGCTGGTGGATAAAACAGGTCTATTTGAGAAGGTGACATGAGAGTGAAAACCCTGAAAGATGAGAAGAAATTGTAATGTACAAGGCAGAAGAATACTTCCAGTCAGAGGGAAGACCAAATTCAAAGCCATGATATAGAAACAAATTTGGTATAATAGGCATAAAAGGTAAATATGCAAAATTGGTAGATAGATAGTTGGAGAGAGGGTACGTACTGTCTTTGTGCAGTCTGTATGCTGGGTCAATAGTCGGGATTAAGGAAGACTCGGTAACAACCTATGATACGCTGATACCACAGCCGTGCTTGCTGGAAGTGAAGACTTGATGTACTAAGTGATGATGACTGAAGACTACAGCCTTCGGTGTGGATCACAGCTCAATGGAAAGAAAACAAAATCCTCACACCTGGACCACCGCTGAGCATCATAATAAACAAAACAACTTGAAATTATCGATGATTTGATTTTACGGGGATTTACAATCAACACCCATAGAAGCAGCAGTCAAGAAATCAAACCATGAGTTGCATTGATCAAATTGGCTGCAAAGGAAATCATTAAAGTGTTAAAAAACAAAGCTGTCACTGAGGACTAAGATGTGACTGACCCAAGTCATGATCTTTTTAATGACCTCATACGCATGAGAAAGCTAGGCAACAAATAAGGGAGACAGAAGAATCGAGGGTCCTTGTGTTGTGGTGCTGGTGAAGAATACTGAAAGTACTATGGCCCGAAGAACCAACAAGTCTTGGAAGTAGTACAGAAAGACTGCTCCTTAGAAGGGAAGATGAGGAGACTTTGTCTCGTATCCTTTTGCCATGTTATCAGAAGGTACCAGTCCCTGGAAAAGGAAACTGTGCTTGGTAGAGTATAAGGTCAGGGGAAAAGACGACGACCCTCAACTGAGATGGACTGACACAGTGGGACTCCCGTGGACGGGGAATCAGGCAGGGAGAATGATGTCTTTAGAACATGTGGGAGGAAAAGAACAAATGAAAGCAGATCAGGGGAGAGGAGGGATATTTTGGTTAGGGTGGAAACAGTGGGAATGGGAGGACGTAGTTTGATTTGGGATGTACTGTGACATAGACTGGAGAGAACTTGATGGATTGGGTGTGGAGTGTTTCAGGAAGAGAGCGACGGAGGTTGACTCCTGAGCATTTCTTGAGATGAGAAAGGAGATTCCAATGAGTTTAAGAGTAAGGAACTAGCAGTGTGGTTGTGAATATGTTAAGGTTGTATGTTTATCACACATCCAAGTGAAGCTGTCAAGCAGGCCGTCAACTCTGTGGGGCTGAGGTTTATGAACCAGCACCATGCAGATGGGATTTGAAGCCATGGCTGTGGTCATTTAGGAAAGGTATCAATGGGTAAGGGGACCAAAGACTAGGCGCCAGGGCCTTCTGACAGTTCAAAGATAGAATGTAGGTGAATCTTATAGCTGTCCATTGCCGTTCAATTGATTCTGACTCATAGGAAGGAAGCCCGCAGAACAGAGTAGAACTTGCCACAGGGTTTCAGCGCTATAAATACTTGGGGAAGCGGTCTGCCACATCTTCCTCCTGTGGAGTGGCTGGTGTGTTTGAACAGCCAACTTTGGATTAGCAGCTTCACTGAGCTTCCTTACACAATGCTTAGCCAAAATATTTGCTACTATGGTTTTGGGGGCTAATTTTTTAGACTATCTTCTGCCTCAGCATATCAAAGGTGAGGTGGCCCCAAACCATACCCATCTTCTACCTCTTGTTTTTGAGAACCAATGGCTCCTTTTTTTTTTTAATCGTTTTATTAGGGCCTAATACAACTCATATCACAATCCATACATTTATCAATTGTGTAAAGCACATTTGTACATTCATTACCCTCATCCTCAAAACATTTTTTTTTTCTTATGCAGACATCCCTCGGTTTATTGCTCCGGGCTTTATTGCTCTGCACAAATACTGCATTAAAAAAACATTATTTTCCATTAGACTGTAGGCCATTTATTATTATTTTTGCCCCTTATGTTTTTATATATATTTAATCATTTTATTAGGGGCTCATACAACTCTTATCACAATCCATACATACATCAGTTGTGTAAAGCACATTTGTACATCCATTGCCCTCATCATTCTCAAAACATTTGCCCTCCACTTAAGCCCCCGGCATCAGGTCCTCATTTTTTCCCCTCCCTCCCTCATGAACCCTTGATAATT